TTTGACTTTGGATCAAGAAGTTATAAAGAATATTTGAACATTTAAATATTTTACATTATACTTATAAATATCCATACAACAGTGGAAGGGCACATTGAAGGGTGAGGAACAACTTAAAGAAGGTTAGATTGTCAGAAATAATAGAAAAGTAGTAAATATCCCTGAGATATTTTGAAAAAATATTAATGACTTTGGCTTATGCCAACAAAATTAGAGTATTTTTATGTTGCTTTGTTTTAGTTTCTAAACTCTAATTCCGATGCTTAATTAAACTGAATAAATGTATTGACATGACTGTCCCTGTTTAGTTTTAAAAATAATGAGGTCTCTCTCATTGCAGCTGCATATGGCATGTGCCAGTGGCTATAAGGAGGTGGTGTCTCTGATCTTGGAACATGGAGGAGACCTCAACATAGTGGATAATCGGTACTGGACTCCACTCCATTTGGCTGCAAAATATGGCCAGGTAACGTCATTATGAATACTCATTTTACAATCAACATGTCATTTAGTGTTGTTTTCATTTTAAGGCGTACATGAGCTGTCATGTAATTTTACTTGTAATAGCATCTTTTTACTGCTAAATCTAGCATGAGGACTAGGGAGAACCTAGTCTGATCTGATGTATTTTTAAAAAAGGCTTCAGCTTTCAAAACATTTATTTTAATATTTAAATTTTAATATTTATTGAAAAGCTTGAAAAAGAGTGATAAAAATCTATTAATTTATGAGTGATTAATTTTTGCCAACCAGAGAGGTGGTAATGGAATGAATACACAATTATCTAAGCAGTCCATATAAAGTGCCTGATACTAACTTATTTTCTATAATTTGCACATGTATCATGTGAAAGATAGGCTTTATATAGCCATGGTAAAAATAAACAAATAAACCAATAAAGCGGGTTGGCTTATGGTGAAAAGAGATTGGTTTTCAGGATAAATGTAGGTTTAAAATTCTCTGGCTACTCACTGCCATCAAATCAATGCTGACTCATAACGAACCCCCTGGTAGGCTTCCAACGCTGTAACTGCTTAGGGAAGTAGAAAGCCCAGTCTTTCCCCCACGGAGTTGCTAGTGGTTCCACACTGCCAACTATATGAGGATTGCAGGCCAATGCATAACTACGGCTGTTCAATATTTTAAAATATTTAAACAACTTAAAAAATAATTCAAGGATTATCCTATAAGCCAGGGCATGTCCTGGTGACATAAGAAACCTAAGTCTAAGACAACTACCATGTCTTCTCTAGAGCTTTTTGGAAAATTATAGGCACCTACTAAAATTAAAAGTGCAGTGATTAATAAGACAGATAAAATTAGTAGCTATCAATATTTTTACCCATTGCATTACATTTTTTGTCTTTCTAAATCTGTACCCTTAATCTAGAGATACAGAGTCATGAATTTAGAAGAGAACAGGACTCAGAAATGCCCCATAATTAAGATAGATGCTTTTATTATGACTTTTCAGTGTACCCATAGCCTTTCCATCAGTTATCAATTATCAAGGACAAGTAAATTAAAAAACCCTGCAATTTCTCCTCATTTTCAAAGTGACCTCCAAAGCATTTGAACCCAAATGACCAAAAAAAGAAGTTATTTCATATGGATTATTTTCTGTACTTTCTCTCCTCTACCTTCTCTCTCAATCCCGGCCCCTCTCTGTTTTAGACACACACATCTGCATTTCATTTTTGTTTAGGTAAGTGGTTAGAGACAGCATTGTTCTGAGGATTTATGTGGTCTTCCCAGAGGACGAGTAATAGTCCATTCCCATTTCTACCTGGCAGTCAGGAGTGACCTTCAAAATACTTCCGATTATTCATTCCACAGTACAGGACCCTGGCCCTTCAGTTGGTGGGAAGCGTCAGCATCTATTAGAATGGACCAGGGTTTGCGTGGCTCAGATGATTTTCATAGTGAAAGTGGAAGGAATAGCTCTGTGCTGAACATCACGGTGAATGCATCCTTGTTTGTTGACTTAATTGCTGGATTTGCATACATAGGTATCCAAGCCAATGTTTTCTGGGCAGAGTCATTTATAATGTGTGGATGAGGCCACTTAAAATTTTTTTAAAAGTTATCTATATGCTCTCTTCCTCTAGAAAATGACTAAACATTAATCCAATATATCTGAAATTTTTTTACTTTAGAGTATTAAATTTAGTTATTGAAGGTCATATACATCTTTTTCATTTTGCTCTATTCAATCATCTGAAAAGGGTTTAGCTAGAATGTCAGATCCCCCAAGAGAGAGACCCTATTTGTGATTTTCAACATGTCCAGCATAGAGACCCTGCA